GACGACTCTACATGTTTCGACGTTACATGAGGATGACTCATGTAACGTCGAAACATGTAGAGTCGTCAACTTTTTGAAGACCATAGATAGGCCTAAATAAAATTGTGTACCAGTTTAACGTTCAATATTATTTATGATTTTAACTTTATACACAAGTGCCAAATTATTACTTCCTTAAGCGATGAAACATTCATTCAGAAAAAGCAACATCCAGAAGTTTCGATTTGTTTGCGGATATTTTTTTCTTCAGTATTAGTTTAAGAGCAGTTTAACGTTTTTTTATTTTTAAGTTTGATAGATTTTCATTCGTTCTATTTGTAGAAATTGTCTCTTCTTCGTTTGATAATGTGAAGTGGGTGAACCAAATAAAAAATACCGGATATACATTTTTTAAGTCATTTAGAAGCCGGATTCCCGATATATTAAACCAATAAATCATATTCAAAATCTCCGACTATTAATTAAAACAAAACTAGCTAAGTTACTGTTTCTTGAACTTAATTTGAGAAACTACGACTTACCAGTGCATTAAGCTATACAAATGTTGCGATTGCAACTTGGATTTTTCTTTAATATAGTTTATTTTGTTTCAGATATTCACGCAAAGAGACACAATATTATCTGCTCTAACAGTACTTAATTAGCAGCTAGTTAACAGTTGTCCACCAACATCTCTTGGGTTACTATAATCGAACAATGGGATTTAATCGTCACTCTTATAAGACACCCATGATCTCAAAGTGCGGGGCGCAATGTTTATATTTTTGTGCGGAAGTGGGACGTTAACCATGGACCTTCACATTCATAGTCAGTCACGTTAGCCACAACGCTACGCCCACCGCTTCTTGATTATGGAATAATGTAGAGATAAACAGTCATATAAAGTTGTAAATGTACAAGTACGAGACTACTTTAATATATTTTCATTCATAACAATCAGCCCCCCCCAGTGGTATGTTTGCGGACTTACAATGGATAGAAACCGGGTTTCGATACCCGTGGGAGGCAGGACTCATATAGCCCATTGTGTAGCTTTGTGCTTAATTACAAGCAAACGAACATAGAGAGAGTACGAGGATAAAATATTTTTTGTAGGTATCAAGCTCTAAGACATTCGGGCATAGGAAAATATTTCAACAAATTAAATTTGGCCAACCCCCCATTTTTGAGAGAAACTTTACAGCAGCAGCTTTGGTGGGCAAAATGTAGAACAAAACAGTAAAAATATTATAGAGTCTCAAATATAATTCAGTTATTATGAAATGTTAAAAATCAGTTCCATGTTTAATATGCTGTTCCAACATTATATCGAATCGGAAAGTGAGCTACCATCTCTGTGTGGGGATGGTACGGACCCCCGTATTAAAGCAATACAAAAGAATCGGAAAGTGTGCTATCACTCTCTGTGTAGGGATGGTACGGAACCCCGTATTAATACAATACAAAAGTCTTCTGAATTTTTTTTTATCTACAGGTCATTCCCTCCCAGTGGCACAGCGGTATGTCTACGGACTTACAATGCTAGAATCCTGGTTTCGATACCCGTGGTGGGCAGAGTATAGCCCTTTGTGTAGCTATGCACTTAATTACAAACAAACTATAGGCCATCGGAAGCTAGTAGATATGAAGAAATATCTGGTATAATCGCTCTATGTCCGATGTATATGCCGATTTTTGGCTATCCAGAGCGTCACAAATTCGAAAAACGCTAAATAGCCAAAACCGAGATTTCTTATTTTCGTTCCTCACCATCTTTCTTCAAAAGGCCTACCTAGTTCTAGCAGTAACTATGATTTTATCATGATTTTATGGAGAAAAACAGTCTTCCCAATCTTTGACTACCTATTTTATTATTATTATTATATGCAAAGTTTATAAAGCTTTATAACACTCTCTACAACCTAGTAACTAACCCACGTACTTCATCTTATAAAAAAAGTAAACAAACAAGAATAATGAAAAATTTATCAATAGATCAAAAAGCTATGTAGGGCTGGCTGGCTACTGAACTTGATAAAAAGGAACCAAAGGATGAAAGAGGACATATCACTTGATCCAGCTAATGATCAAATAGCAGACTAAGGTGTCTCAACTTTACATGGACTATAAAAATCCCAACATTCCTGGCTTCCCCACCCTGTCTATCAAAAGCTTGATGTTTCAATCTAATCTCAGTTTTCATCATTGTACCTTTCCTTTAGTTAACTTTAGAATACTACTTTTTAGGAC